TTATTTATAATGATATCAGTAGAACTGACGTTTTCATTGAATTTCACATAGCCTTGTCCCTCCCAGAGGTGTTCTCATCTAAGACGCACTGCAGTTTCGACATCTCATAGTTTTCATCAATAACCCAAGCAGGAGTCGAACCATGAGAGTTCAGCATGTAAGCTCGACACGTTAACCACTACGCCATATTGCCACCAATGCTCTTGAGTCACAGTGCAGATATGGATTTCAAGGAATGTCAGGCATTTTCCATATCACATTCTGTATTGGGATTGTCGATGAAGTAAACTTATTTTTGCTATAGCAATCGACGCCATCACTTTTCCCAAGCATGTTTTCTAGACTACCAGTAAATCGGATATATTTCGACCTATTCGAGGTCGTAGCTGCAATCCACCCTGGATGCAACACCTTTTGGGAAAACAAAGCTTTGTTAAATTTAATGTAAACACCAGCTATACTCATCTCATTGTGGCAACAATCAACTACCAGCCATTCATCACTTTGAGCAAAATAGGGTTAACAAAACTGACATATGATTTACCTATAGTCTCGAATAACTACTTAGGAAAAAATATTAAGAAGTCAGGTGAGTAAGAAATTCGATTTAGTATTCCAATCTTATCTTATAGATTCTGAAATTTTTCGAATATCATATAACTGACATTCTCACTTTGTCAGAAATAGTTTGACCTTATTTTGTAGTCAACTTAATATATTCCTATAGACGCTGGAAACCATCTTGGCTACTATGGTAGAGTACTTCCGACCGGTTGAATTTACTTAGGTTTCCCTGAAAATACAACTAAGTTGTGAAAACAAGATTAAAACGCTTCTTTACTACAATAAGAGACAGCGACCATAATAAAGGCCACACCATCTTTCTCTTCATACCTCCATTTCTATATTTAATGGTAGTCTATCGCCACGGTTTATTTTATCATTGAAATCTCACCGGGAGCAAAATATAACAGGAAAAATTCTGACCTCTGCATTTTGACATAAGAATTTTTTCTACACGATGCTAAGTATCCATTTTTATTACTCTTATTTGATTTTGGGTTTAATCAAGTAAAGAGGAGCATATATACGCATAATGTTTTGGGAATTTAGACCTTCAATTTGCATTTTCTATTAAGTCATATATAGCTTTTATCTACCACAAGCTTTGATTGGGTAGCTATTTTCTTGGATTTTATTAAGGATATTTAATCAGACTTGTTTCCTTTGTGTCTGGGGTTTAAGACCACTTTACAACCTCAATTTATAAGTGTATAAACTCTTATTTCTTTTCATGATTTCCCATAATATCTGGCTATTTATAATCCTATTATTACCTTTGTTCAATAATATCTGATTTTGATATATAGCGATCATTAGATAATTTTCTTTTAATTTCTTTGCAAATATTATGTTTATCTTCAAGTTTCCCTTTATATTTACCCCACTCTTTTAGAGAATAATTGAAATGTACATTTAAATGTGTCGCAATTCTATTTGATCGTACTACTCATATTAACCCTCCTTTTTTCAAGCGCTTTTTTTCATTCTGTGACTACCCGTTTATCTTCGATGGAGCCTCTAAAGCTGAGATGCTGCGTTTCGAAGCGCAGCTTACAATGCGTAAGGCTGCTGCATGCTCTACTTTCTTTGGTTCCTTTTTATTGCCAACTTCGCCCTCGGCAGTCTTCGCCATTGAGGTACGCCGCAATGCACTCGTCGAAGACACGCTTACCCTATTGTCGCTGTCAAAGACGACTGACCTACGCAAGCCACTTCGTGTCAAGTTTCATGACGAAGAGGCTGTCGATGAGGGTGGGGTGCTAAAGGAATTCTTTTTGCTTATCATGCGGGAAATCCTCGATCCCATTTACGGCATGTTCCGTCTTTACCCCGAATCACGTATGATATGGTTCAGTGATATCACCATGGAGACAGAAAGTATCTTTCGAATGGTTGGTCTGCTTTGCGGCCTAGCTATCTACAATTCTATTCTTGTCGACCTTAGCTTCCCCTTGGCCTTGTTCCGCAAACTGCTTGGCGAAACATCTACCTTAGAAGATCTAAAGGAGTTAGATCCTGTGCTGGGTAGGTCACTACTTCAATTAATCGACTACGAGGAATCTGATTTCGAGAATGTCTTTGGACTTTTTTTTGAGGTGAATTTAATTTGTCTTTAGTTTTTTCTATCCTTCAAATATAAATATGTATGTGTATCTGAAAAAATTTTTTTTGAGGTCTTGTTGGATTTAATTTCTCTGCAGTGAATGAATATAATTTTAAATTCTTCAAGATGTGTGCGATTCGAAGATATAACTAAACAACGTTTATCTAAATTCCGGTCCATGAAGGGATTTAACTTAAATCTATCTTTATATATATATATATACTAACTTTATATGCATAGACTAGTGATACGGCTCGGAATTATTATCCCCATTTTAAGTCTCTGTACTTCGTCGTTTTTTTATATTTGTGACAACGCTTATCGATTCCCATTTGATTACTTTTACTTCTTTCAGAGGCGGAGAGAAGGGATTCGTTAGCTGGAATTTTTATTTGTGCTAATTAGTCCTCGCCCGATCTTTCCGCAATCCTGACTATTCTCTGCTGGGTTTTCATCTATAATATGGCAGACATCGTCAGAGCGGGAAACGTTTGTTGCTTGTATACACTAGTCATAAGTCATGTATCAAAAATCCTAACTACATTCGAGTACAACAATGCCTCTTGCTCTCTAGTACTTCTTCCGCCCTCTCCATAATCCCATCCAATAGCTACCAATAGTTTCTATTCAATTTCATGCACATTCCTTTTACTCAGGGTGCTCGTAGCTTTGTTGATCTCGAATCTTCCACTTGTATTATTTTCATATGCCTATC